ATATATAATCTCCCAGGCTGGCCTGGAACTCATGGCAATCCTCCTGCCTCGGCCTCCCAAGTGCTGACTTTACAGGCATAGCCCCATCACATCTAATTTGGTTTGTTTTTAAGGGTCCATTCATCTAGGAGTCTGTGCTGTTTCTTACTGAAGAGACCATCAAATATAATCTAAACAACTCTAGTGTTTTTCATGAGAAACAATTAGGCCATCTACATGTCCATCCAGCCTTCCCAGGTGTGGAGGACTGAGGACAAAGAAGTGTGAACCGTAATACACTTGGGTGTTTGTTTCCTGCAGAAGGATACACTTTCAGGGGAAAATGTGTGAGAACGTATGGAACATTCCATCCTGATATCTTCTGGCTACTGGCCCACTCATATCAGGGGCTTCTTGTAACAGTAAAAGCTTTGTTCCTGAGGCTCTTTGCTGCTTTCTTCTGCTCTCGGAAAAGCTGCCCCTCTAATCACCAGAGTTGGCACAGGTTGGCTCGCTTCCTTGTCTCCCTACAGACAGTGCCTCTCCTCTCTCAAGGCCCAAAATAGAGAAAGTCCTGCGTTAGTGTCAAACAGAAAACCTCTTCTCAGGGAAAGGTGGGAGGGCAGGGGAAGTTCATGACAAAGTGGCCCTTTCCCAACCTCCGAGCCAGCTTTCTGTGTTAGAAGAAAATGTGAGAAACTGGAGGGGAGGCAGAGGAAATTTTTATCATCGGATTTGTGCAAGCAGCAAAGAGGTGAGGGAGAAATGAGTGGGGAGATCGGGCAAAGTGTTTCCTGTGTGCTGCTGTTAGCACCTCCTATACACTGGCTGCTTCTGCATTTTCAGGTTGTCTGAACCTGAAAACAAGGAGGATCAAACAAGGAGGGAGTTGGTGAGTTGGCTTAGCAACCAGTACAAGCTCCGGGGGATGGCGAGAGAAAGACTTGTTTCTTCAGGGAGACACCCTGCACCGTTAGGCACCTACTGCATACAGCCCTGCCCTCTGGAGGAGGCTGGTGCCCTCCTGAGATGGTAAATTCAAAGGTTTGAAAACATCCAAGGGGAATCTCCATCTTTCTCTTACTGCTTAGAATTAAATCAAATCGTCTTCTCTGTCAGGAGGTTATGGCTGTAGGTTTCCAGGCGCTCTTGAGAGGGTACAGATAGCGGCAGGCATGTGCTTATTCCTAACTTCATTGCCCCGGCCCATGGGCAGGTGATGCCACTACCCTGGCCTCTTTACCCCTTGGGGACCCTCTGCAAGGGCTCCCCAGGTGTGGCCTAGAGGACCAGCCCTCTGTTGGGTCTGTGACTGGCCAGCCTGGGCTTCCGGGAAGCAGAGCTCTGCCCCAACAGCACCTGCACTGGCCAGAAGGGACCTATTGTCAAATCTGGTCTGAATCTTTCAGTTTGATTCTCTGCAGGAACTTAGCCAGTAGGTGATATTCCTGGTGTGACTTGGGTGTTGCTTTGGGTTTCTTTCTACCTTCAGAGTAACGATTCTCTGTCAAGAGCCACTTCTCCTTGGCACTGCACCCCCAAAGAGAGATTGAAGAGCAAAATCAGCATTTTAATTCTTTCATTAAAAGACACTGCCATGCATTATGAGTTGTAGGGTGTAGTTTGGGGCAGTCGGGAAGCACCATGTCACTTATTTCTCAGAGCAATCCAGGGAGGTGTTGTATTTCTGTGGTCCTCAGTTTTCAGCTGAAGAGACCAAGACTTAACACATGAGGCTGCCTGAGTCACAGTGGGCGGGGGGGGCTTTGTAGGCTCTGACACGTGCAGCTTTTAAAGCCTCCACTTTTACCCCTGTTGCACCTTGCTTAGTGGTAAGATGGATTAAGCTGCACATGTGGTTGGACGGGACCTCTGTAATCTAGGCCTTTTACTAATAAAGAAACTGAGACTCAGCTCGATTTCACAAAGGTTAATAAGATGCCTGGGCTCGTATCCTGACTGCATCCCCTGCTAGCTCTATGGCTTTGGGAAAGCTACTGAATTTCTCTCTGCTGCTCTGTCCTCATCTGTAAAATGGGGATGATACTGATATCTAACCCTCGGTATTATTGTGAAACTTAAAATAATTCTTATAAAGTGCTTAACACCATGACCATTGGCTATTTTTGCTGTTATTCTTTATAATAGTGAAAACTTGGAAATTAATTCCCAATAATATTGGTTAAATAAATTATATGTACATACACATATGCACATGGTGAATGTACGTATAATTGAAATATATAGAAAATTTACACTATATTGCATATATAATACAATGAGATAAATACAATAAACTACTGAAATCATAATTTAAAATATAAGCACACGAGAAACTGCCTATGATTTAATTCTTAGTGAAAAAATAGGTCATACAACACTGTGTATAGTATAATCCAAAATTTTAATTAGACACACACCCACATACATACATCTGTCTGTCATCCAGCATTCATCTATCTATCTCTAGTCCAAAATGCTGAGAAGTATTCAGTTATTATCTCCTGGAAGAGAGGTTATGGGTGATTTTTACCTCTGATTTTATTTTCCCAGACTTCTCCACTTTTATGCAATAAAATGAACAGCTTTCAGTACGTAAGCGGTGCCCACAGAAAAGTACCTTGTCATCCTCGATGCTTATCTGATTTGTGACCCTTTCTCTCCAAGGCAGCACTTGGCTTCTGTGTTTCCTTCCATACACTGTGGGGATGACCAGCCTGCCCCTATCCACCCGCAGCACCACAAGGGCATGGGCCTGTGCCCCTGGGATGGCCCCACAGGCCTTTCATCCCACGCCCAGAATGGAAATGTTCCCCTAGGGCCGTCGGCCTGCAACCTGGCGCCAGGAGCACTTTGCCGGCTCTCTCTGGCTTGCTTGCTATTCAAGCTGATTCTTTTCAAGGTGAACTTGAATCTTCTCACTGTTTTGTATCTTAATTCTGTCATTTATTTCTGGTAGCTCTGACAGTCTGTTTGAAAAGTCAGGCCTGGTGCCGGCACAGGTACCAAGCACTGGAGGCTCTAGGGAGGCCGGCCTGCCTCTGTTTATGAAGCTTTTCCAGCTCACAATAGAGTATGTAAATAGAGCATGCATACTCCCCACTCTGGTCTTAAAAACCCATAAGAAACCATGACACTGTAATACTTCTGTTTGTTTTCATGCAAGCAGGGTACCTGCAGGAAGCTGGAGGCCAGGCCGCCCCCGTCACTCTCCCAGCAGGTGGAGGCCCATCCTGCCTGTCCTCAGAGAGGAGCAACTGCAGAGGAATTTCCTCTGATAATACTCACAGATTCTTATACGGCAAGTTTTAAAAAATTAATTTTATCGGTACAATTTGCAGATACATAATGATCACATTTATCACAGCCGTTTGTCCCTGTACGTGATATATCTTGAGTCTTCTTTTTTTCCCATTCTCTTCCTCTCCCTTCAACCCTTCTCTCTTTATTTACAAATGCTTTGTTTCCATTTTTTCCCTTTCATTCTTTTTTTTCCTTTTCACTTCCCTTTCCCCTCTCTCGTCTCTTACGTAGCAAGTTTTTGATGCATTAGTTAACATCAATAATAATTTACATTAATCAATATTAATTAACTAATTGATATAAGCATGATTTTGCTGGTACAGTAAACCCCCAACTTACAAATGAGTTCTTTTCCCCGGGGGAATTGTTCATAAGTTGGATTTGTTTGTGAGCTGACAAAGTGAGTCTTACACAGTACACCTGTGAAAGTTTGCGACTCAAATCTTCTTAAGTCAGGGACTTAGTGTATTTTCTGTCTCTTATCCCTATCTTATTAAAGACTCACTCCCAGGGTAGCTGGGAGCCTTGCTGGGGCCAATACAGGACCTGCACAAATGGATCTAATCTTCCTTATGCCAACGGCCAGAAATTTAAAGTCCAGAGAATAACTGGGAGGAGGAGGACACTAAAATTTATTACCAGAGGCTAGTACAGCACTATTTCACCCTTTCTACCCTATGCCTTATTTAATCTTTACACCTCTGAGAGGAAACAGGTATCATCTCTATTTTTCATAAAAAGAAATGGAGGCTCAGAGAAGTCACTTAGCTTCTCAAAGTCATCCAGCCAAAGCACGGGGCTGATATTTGTTCAGTATGACTATAAGCTGAGGATTTCTCTACCCACAATGTGGTTCCTATAATTGTGATCTGCTGGGAGGTGAGTCACAGGAGTCAATCATTGGGCCTGGGATTTAGCTTGGTGGTGCCGCCACCTGCCTCAAAAGCAGAAGGTCCTGAGTTTGATCCCCAGTACCCCCGCAAAATGTTCATGTCTAGAAACAGTTAACTTTAAAGTTAGCTGAGGTCATGGGCCACAGGAGAAGGGCCATGATCTAGGCACTAGACCTTGAATCAGACATAGTTCCTGTTGTCCAATTCACAACCCAGGTTCTTGCTGCTCAACCCTTAGGTTTTATAGCCCATCACGTCACAATCGATCAGGATATTAAGGAAGCATGGCGTGCTCCTTACAATACCCACACACTGGGAGACAGTCCACCTACTGTCCAGCTTTTATGTAAAGGGATCTTTGCCAGGTGCTGCGTTGTGAGAGACACAAGGCCATATCCTTCCAGGCTCCTCCCTTGGCGTGTCCTTTGCCCACTAGGAATTGTGGGCAGTGATGCAAAGAATCTATCAAGTCCAAGTCTATGAGGGGGACAGCTGATGAGAATCACAGGTGACTGGAGCCAGCAGGGCACAGAGTGGGCTCAGGTGGGGCTCAGGTGAGCGAGGCAGAGTTGAGCGTGACCGCCTGCTGCTGGTTCTGGTTCTGGTGGTGAAGGCTCAGGTGAGGTAAGCGGGACTCTGGAGAGAGGAGGTGTGTAGACAATGGGAGCAGTTGCATTTCACTGTCGGAGCCCAACAATCAACATTACCAGGAAGATCTGCAGAGCAGGGGTCAAGCATGCAGTCGGAGGATGGAGGGTAGGAACTTTTGCTCTCTCAGTCCTTGCGTAGGTATCCTTAGGCCAGTTTCTTAAATTCTCTGAGCCTCCTTTCCTCATGCAGTTGTTGAAAAATCAGAAAGAAGATCTAATACAGTGTGCGTGTGAGTGTTTAACAGGTGAAAGCTTGTTGGTTATTACCACATAGGGAAAAAGCAATCAAAGGCCTTGACAATGCTGGTTCCTCCGACCCGGCCTGTGTCTGCCCAGCACTTTCAGGCAGTGATCCTTTCCTTCAAACCCTTTTCACTAGACAGCATTAGGAGGGAGGAAAGAGCAGTGCAGCAGAAAGCCTGCACTTGAGACCAGGTGCCAACCCTCACCAGCTAATGGGCATTCTCAAGCAAGCACCTGATCCTCAGTTACATCTAAAAAGTGGGGATGTGACAGTTATCCTACAAGCCTGCTAGGAAGGTTAGATATGGGATTATATTTCAAAGATAAAACCGTTGTTTGTGAGCCACAAAATATCCATTGACATCATGATGCTCAGGTGGATCTGGGGGACCAAGTCTAGCAGCCTGGCCCGTCGTCGTTGCTGAAGATGGAGAAAGCACACAAGAGTAGATGGACTAATGATTGTGCATTCCACTTTCTCTGGACTCTTTGGAATACAACCTAGGGAGTCTGTGGAAGACAGAAAATGAATGTTTACCGAGAGCCTGCCCATCTCACCAGCAGCCAGCCCCAAGAGGCCTCTCCACTTATTCCGGTTCAGAGGCGATCAGAGTGAAGCCTAGCAGGTCCTCTCCAGCACTTCAGAATCAGGATTGCTGGGATCTGGCAGCAGGTGGCTTCTTACAGGGGCAAGGAAGAAGATAGGAGTCAAGTGAACAGAGAGAAAATGCAACCCCTAATGGCTGCAGCATCCTTTTTACAAAAATTTAGCACTTCATCAAGCGCTCACCTTCCAAGGATAGCAAAATGTGTATGGAAATGATCCAGATTAAATTCTCTTTTTTTTAAATGAAGAAACTGAGGCTCTGAGAGTGGGGGTGTCACTCAAACTCAGGGATACAACAGTTAATCTTAGCCAAAAGGCCGAGAAGCGATCCAAACTCAGGGATACAAAGTGGAAGGAACTAGATCGGAATTAAGCTTTGAGGGTCTTGGTTTCTTGGCCTGTTCCCTCGCTTCACCATCCCAAGCTTCTGGAGTACCTGGATATCTGTCTAGAGAAGAGAAATTTGAAGGAGAAAATGGCTTCTGATTTCATTGCTCAAGTGAGAGGCTTAGAAGTCACAGAAAACATACTAGACTTTCCAGCTCCACTCCAGTGATCCTCGGTCACAATTGTTGGGTGGCTTCGGTGTCCAGGACTTATCTTCCTGGGTCTTGGAGAAGCAGGGTCAGGTAGATTATGCAAAAGGTGAAGTTGACATGAACAAAGAATGGTTTGCCACAACTGAACTTTGTCACTCGAATGTTATTCGTTTTGAAAGATGCTGCCCAGCCTCAGAGCCAAGTTAAACTTAGAACGGGAGCTCTGTCCTAGTGAGTCAGAGGTGAACTGTAACAGCATTCTGCTGTGGTAAGAGAGGTACCATTTATCCGCTCAGTACAGATTTAGACTGCCAGGGCTTACTTTAGGCTTGGATCTGCCCTGGGGAGGGGGATGGCCTACAACAAAAACCAAAATGTATCATGGTGATAGGAACAACACAGAAAAACGAAGTTGTAGATAACAGGAAGTGCCAGGAGTGGAGACCGGGGTCAGGTTAGACTGAGAAAAAGAGATATATATACACACTTAACATTAGATGTATCCTCTGAAATTTTTAAGAGTACAATACAGTACTCTTAACTACAGGCATAATGCGATGTAGCAAATCTCTAGAATGTACTCAACTGGTACAGCTGAAAAGTTTTGCCTAATTAACAGCTCCCCATTACCTCTTCTTTCATTCCCTAGCAATCACCAGCCTACTCACGTTTCTATTAATTTGACAATTTTAGGTTCCTCATCTAAGTGGAATCTTGCAATATTTGACCTTCTGGGTCTAGCTTTTTTCATTTAGCTTAATGCCCTCCAGATTCATCCATGTTATTGCGTAGGTCAGGATTTCTGTCTTTTAAAAGACCAAATAATATTCCACAGTGTACAGGCTCCTCATTTTCCTGCCCGCTCATCCGTGGATAGGCACTTAGATTGTTTCTGTACCTTGAGTGTTATGAACAGGGTTGCAGTGCACATGGAAGTCTCTTCCAAGCCCTCATTTCAGTTCTTTTGAATGTATACCGAAGTGACACTGCTCAATCATGTGGTCTCTTTATAGTTTAAAAAAAATTTTTCATACTGGGGATCCAACTCAGGCCCTCGTGCTTGCGAAGCAGGTGGCAGAACCACCGAGCCAAATCCCTGGCTCATATAGTTTTTGAGGAGTCTCTGTAATGTTCTTACCTGTCCCAGTTTACCTTTCCAACAACAGTATACAAGGGTTCCGATCTCTGCACATTCTCCCCCACACTTCCGTGTTTTGATACTAGGCATCCTAAGGAGTTTGAGGTGGTTTGCCGTTGGAATTCACGCCTCGTCTTGGGAGAAGTGTTGGTTCCAGTCCTTCGGACTTACTTCCAGCCTTAAGTTATTTGCCTTTATTATTGGGCTGTAGAGGGAGAGTGGGAGCTTTGAACGAACACTTGAAGAAGGTTAGCGAAGAGGACTCACCAACTGAGGGGGAACATATTGAGGTTCAGGGAACAATGAGTACGATGCTCTAGAGGTGGGAGCCTGCCCGGGAGGAGCACAGGCGGCCAGGAGGCCAATATGGTTCAACCTCTGTCTTAGTGTGAAGTCAAAGGAGATGAGGTCAGAATGGTACCAGGAACCAAAGTGAGGGGGAGAAGGAATCTGGCACTAGGTGTATTTTGAAGGTGATCTCTCTCTCTCTCTCTCACACACACACACACACACACACACACACACACACACACACCGTCATCCTCCTCCTCCTCCTCCAATACAGTTTTATTTAACAAATATGCATTGTGTACTTTCTACATTCCAGGTAAATACAGCACAACTTTGAAGCACTCATCATGAGGATGGAGTGATAAGAAAAGTAAAGAAATAGCTGCAATAAAAAGTGATGGCAAATAAGCACCAAAGAGAGGAACAGATCACCGGGGAAGTCCCTTTTCTGCTCAGAGGTCAGAAAAGACTTTGCAGATTTGGGATGGGCTTTCAAGAGTGGATGGGATTTCTGAAGTCTCTTTTATTATTCTGATAAGTAAAAATATATATATATTCATTACAAAAATGTTATACTGAAAGATACAAATAAACCACCAGTCATCAATTCATAGCCAGATAGTCACTAATTA